GTATGTATATAGATATATGTAAACATTACTAAATAATATTTTCAGAAAAGCCTGTTCGCTTAGAAAATTAATTACGGAGAAATATATATGATGTAATAATTATTAAATTAAAAAATATGCATTTAGAATTTACGATTAATAAAATATTATTTAGAATATACCTTAAAAAAAAAGAAAAAGAGAAAGGAATATTCCCAGCGATGCTGGAACGGGGAAGAAGAACCTCATAAAAAACGACGCGTACTTTGCACGCGCCAACCGCCCCCAGCCACCAACACCAGAAAGAAATGGCGAAAGAGACAAAACTGAACGAGAAAAGGAAGAAGACAAAGCTCAAAAGAAGCTCTCAGCAGAGGAGCTGGATAAGATTACATACAAACCTCACTCATAATCTCACATTAACTCTGCAATTTACAGAATAAATCCAAAACAATAAAAAGGTTTAAGGATGGTGGTGATGATGAAAAAGAGGAAGAAGAAGAAGAACTGAAAAAGGAAAAAGAAAGAAAGTGTAAAGAAAAGTGAAGAAGAAAAAGATGATGATGATTGACTCGTGGTGTCCGGACTGTAACCGACCGACCGAGGTGGTGTTCGACCACTCAGCGGGTGACCGAGTCTGCTCAGAGTGCGGACTCGTCCTCGAGTCACACTCCATTGACGAGACCTCCGAGTGGCGGACTTTCGCCAACGAGTCCACAGATAACGATCCAGTTCGCGTGGGCGGCCCGTCGAATCCGCTTTTAGCTGACGGCGGGCTCTCCACCGTCATCTCCAAGCCGAATCCTTCCTCTCCCAACTTCCTCCCCCGTTGGCATACTCGCGCTTCAAATCCTGACCGTTCCCTCCTTCAGGCGTTCAAGGTCATCGCCACCATGTCCGACAGGTTTTCTTTTTGCTTGTTTTCGACGTTAACCACTTGGGTTTTTGCCTGCATGTTAAGCCATTAAAGGGATTTTGCTGCTGTCACTTTCAGGTTGGGCCTTGTTGCAACCATAAAGGTATGCAACATTATCTAATTGCGCTTTCTTTTAATGATCTCCTGCAATTCTGTTTACTGGGTTCTGATCTGTTTGCGAGTAATTGTAGAGGGTAAATGCTAAAATGTCACCTTTAATTGTTTATCACAAGCTACTGTGTTGATTCTCTGTTCCATTTTTATGGTTGTGATATTTTGCTCTGAACATGTTTGTAAAAATGCCAATTTGAATTTAGGATTGCTCAGTTTCTCATTTGTATTGGTTTGAAGGATCGAGCTAATGAGATATATAAGAAAGTTGAAGATCAGAAACCACTTAGAGGACGGAATCAGGATGCAATTCTGGGTGCTTGCATCTACATTGCTTGTCGACAAGAAGACAAACCACGCACTGTAAAAGGTAAGCTGCAAGCTCCAATAAAAAAACTGTGCCATTGAGCTATTGACATTTCCTTATAACCATTTTTAATGTTATTGCTTTGAGTTCTTAAACTTGTGAGTTTCTGCAGAAATCTGCTCTGTTGCCAATGGGGCCACAAAGAAGGAAATTGGCCGTGCAAAAGAGTATATTGCGAAGCAATTGGAGGTGGAAATGGGTCAGTCTATGGAGATGGGAACAATACACGCTGGAGATTTTTTGGTGGGTATTGATGATGAAGTAATTTTTCTTCCACTACTCTGTATACATGTATATATACATAGTTGTTTATGCATAAGTTGTGCATTGTGTTTCCTGTAAGGATTCTTATTTGGGATTCATCGATGGAAGTCATTGACATTGTGTTCGTAACTGAAAATTACAGAGGCGTTTTTGTTCCCATCTGGGTATGACTAATCAAGCAGTTAAGGCAGCCCAAGAAGCTGTGCAGAAATCTGAAGAGCTTGATATAAGGTAATTCTGGTTGTAGCCTGTATTTTTGGTTACTGCAATTCTACTCCAATTATGCATCAAGTTTGGTGAATTTTCCTACCATTGATTTTGAGAATAGGTCTTGGATACTGGGTATATAGTTCATACATGAGTATGTATATGTGTAACAAGTTCATCTTTTACGCTATTACGGTCCAAAATGGGTAAAAATACTTACTAATTTCTCATGATGAATGGCGAAACTGAGAAGATGGAAACACTGGATAAGTGAATGGTTTGGAACTTGGGATGGGGAAAGGTTTTGAGGAAATACATATAATGAAGTTGATAGCACTTGATGAGAACCGCGAACATGGTCCTCAACACTAACTGGAAATTGCCATTTCCAACACCTTAGTGTAGTTAATACCGGAAATGTTCACACAAACTGAGAAATCATTTTCACTGTCACAGGAGGAGTCCAATATCCATAGCAGCAGCTGTCATTTACATGATCACTCAGCTTTCGGACGAGAAAAAACTTCTGAAAGGTTAAAATATGATTAAACAATTTACTAGCCGAGTTAGTTATGTTCTAACCAAGATAATATTGAGGAACTATGGCTGCAGATATTTCATTGGCCACAGGGGTGGCAGAAGGCACCATCAGAAATTCATACAAGGATCTCTATCCCCATGCCGCAACGCTGATACCAAGCTGGTACACCAAGGAGGAGGACCTCCGAAACCTCTGCAGTCCCTAGGTATTTAACAACACCAAATAGCCTTCAGTTAGATGTTAGCCTTTTGTGAAACCAAACATTACAAGCCTGTTAGTTTCTCACCTGATCTTACCTTATTCAGTTTAGCTTGAACTTTCCCGTATCATCTTTTACTCAAATTGGTTGCAGGAAACAAACAGACAGGCTATGTATCAGATGTACATATGTGCCTTATTTGATACTGTATCTTGACAGAGCATGTTCGTAGTTGACATGTTGGGGTGTGTAGTCTTCGTTGAATTGATGACAGTTATCTGGCTCAAATCAATTACAATTAGTTTAATGACCAGTACTCTCAACCTTCCTGTGTTTGATAGTATTATTATTACTGTTTTAAGTATGAAGTTGCAGCATTAACTGATTGTAATATTCTCATTTAAAATAGAAATCATCAAGTCATCAACAAATCATTGACACAATGAAATCTCGGGTTCATTCATTTTAAAGACACTAGTATTTTTGAGTTGACAATCATCCGGCAAGACAGTCATAGATTTACAAAGCAAATGGCAAAATACACAGCTGCCAAGGACAACATCCATCATATTGGTAGGGGCTGACCACTTCAGTTGAGCGGCTGAAATTCGATGCCACATTTGTGGGAGGTTAAGTCCTACCTTCACTATTTTCTACTGCAAGAATTTCCCACATAAAATGGAAACACAATCCCTCCTGATTGCCAAACATGAGATCGAACCTGATTTAGCCAAAGAAGACAACTGGACAAGCATTTAACCCCATGAGTTAGAGATGAAGCAACAGAGGTTTACCAGAAGGTCAATGCAAGTTTCTCCTTCAAAACTATAATCAATAAAATCTTGGAGAGTCAAAAGAAGTCACTGAACTTTGTGCATGAACCAAATCCAGGTTTAAAGAGTGCAAAAAGTTTTCTAAAAGTTGATGACAAGTTTTGCAAGGTTCATTTGACCACGATCATACTGTTCAAGAAATATATATTTTTTTTTAAAAGGAAAGAAATCGGTCAGTAAACAACTAAAACGTTCCAATGAAGCAGTTACCTGAATAGGATATCATTTAACTCGCACCAGATGCAGATGATGCCCTCTTCTTTCTCTTGTTTTTAGGTTTCACAGCATCCTTTAAAGTTTTCCCCCCATTTGTATGTAGGCCAGTTTGAGGTTCATTGATAACTGGAGGAGCTGGCTTGACATCTTCATGCATCTCTTGTGTCTCGGATTCACTATGTTTTTCCTGGCTTCCCAAATCCTTTTGTATTCTACTGGGGTTTGAGATTCCTACAGCAATAATCATGCATAAAGGTTCATTTCAATCTCTCCATTGTGAAATGCTTGTTCTGAGTAAACTACCATGATAAATGCAAGGAATGTTTTATGGAACATTCATCCGGATCAACACATGACAAAATGCAACATAACATACTCATCCAGCCAGGTTTTTACATCATCAGCTGGCATGTCTTATTGTAACTCATTTTCCTGAAGTGGATTTAGTCCAAAACCTTTTTAAAGAAGAGATTAACGTGCTATAAAGAGCCACTTCTCTTGTATGATATATTTGAAAATAAAATACAAATAACTACAATGAGCCGTTCCTTTTTCTGTCTCACCTGTGGCAATTCATGAATTTGTTGAATACCTAAATTCATTATAGCAACTCCTCTATGTGCATCAAATCGTTGTTAATACAATTAGTATGATGTTCAGCAAACTGTATCAAAGATTTAAGGAAACAAAGGACAAAAAAAAAAGGTAGAGCTTAATATTGCAGCTACTTGCTTCTATGCATAACTCTAATTCTACTCATCTACAGGCACATAAAAAGAAACGAAAGATGAGAATGCTGCTGATAGGCAGGACTTAGATGTGAACATATGTGTCTGATACAGGAGCTTATCTATCTTTTTTTAATTCATAACTGATTCAATGAGCATGCAACAGTCATATCCAAATTTTGGGATAGATATATGACATGGAAAAATAAAGAGTTTGTGAAACACAAGCTTTAACTGGAAAGCAGTGTGAGTCATATGGAGAAAGAAAAAGACTAGAAAACACCAAAGGTATTTTTTGCTGGTGTTTTATGTGATTTTCCCCTGACAATTTCAGGTTTACAGAACCATGAAGCCAATATATCCCTAAGAAATAGCACAAAGCCAATACAATTCATATCCCAACATAATCCGAAGAAAATAAAGCCAGCACCTTAATAAAGAATCAGACAAAACACGAGATAAAACTTCATGGTAGCAGCAAGAGCAGATAAACACAAAGAAAGAATCAGACTCAATTTATTTTATTTATGGTAGTAACAAAGAAGTTGCATACCCCGTGATCCTAGAGAAGCTTTAAGGAAATCTGTATCAACGCCCTTTGAGTAAGGGTCCCTGGAGTGAGTGTAGGAAAATTCTCAAGTTAGATTTAAATGGACTAAAAGGTGAAATTTTTCAGGAGAAAGCAAAAGGGAAAGGATAATGCAAAGCATAATCTAGCATGGGGATAATCAACACAAACAGTCTCTGTCCAACAATGTATCTCCAGCCAATCCTCTGGAAAGATTTTTCAGACAAGTGAAGTGACAATTAATTATTTGTCCAACAACAACTCATCACTTCATGCCCCTCCACCCACATGTGAATTTTCATTATATGATCAGCAGACACTAGTCAAAACCCAATGCAAAAAGCATAATGGTACAGTATCAATCATAAGTGGTGTAGAAGGTTCTTTTCACCTCTTATCCCTCCGTCCATTACTCTTGTGAAAAGAGAGAAATAGTGAGCTTTCAAGGGCATTCATACTCCCTTTAGCAAGATCAGAACCTGATGCTTAAGTCTGCATTTTGTTTAGAGATCGTCTGCTCTCTTTTTGAGGATGTTGCCAGAACCCAACAATTGTCAAAGAAATTCCAGATAGTTTAGTTAGTATATTTCCTATGCTTCTGTTGTTGTTTCCCCTCTGCATATTCGGTTTTAACCGACTTATGATAAGTGAGCTAGGATCTGTGGTGGCTGCAAGCTGGAATGCCAGCCATAGCCATATCTCTCAATTGTAAGGCAGTCCGGATTAAAAATAGGCACCCAAAAGTGATGCATGTAACATTAGAAAAATCAAGTAAAAAAATTATCTAACTCTCTAGCTTATTCTTCTTTTTCTTCTTGCCTCTTCCCTCTCACCCTACCACTCTTTCCTCTCTATTCTTGTCAGCTTCTTCTTCTATACTCTGTTTTGTTTCTCTATTCTCCCTATTCTGGTCCTCCTCTCAGGTCCATAAATAGGAACCTGACTGATATTCAGGGGATTGTCTTGATATTTTGACTAACTTGTAACTCATTATTTTGTACATGATGCATGAGATCCCATGGTGCCTTCTCTAACTTATTTTCTTCTCAAAATTGAAAGAAGGTTCTCAATTTTTTTTTAATTTCCAAAACATTAAAAAATATTCCTTTTAATTCCTCAAGTTCATATTCATTGTGGAAAGCCATATTTATCCAAAATCATAATCATAAAGGTTGATCTTGCCTTGTAGTGAAAGTTGAATAATCTAAGGGACATTTCCATTAGTGAAAATAAGATGACACGGTGACACATGAAAGGCTAAAAATTACCAACTTGAGGGTCCCCCAATGAAATTCTTTGCACTTCTAGATTCCCTACTATTTCCACTTTCACTGTCATTGCTTTGAGTGGCACGACTTTCCTCAGAAATCAGCTTTAATCTTTCCACACGCTTCCTTGACACCTCATTATCCTCCTCCTGATCAACAGATTGGCCCTGATTCTTTTTTGCAGCTGCACTCGAGGCAGACTCAGAAGACACGAGAGAAGTAGGATGCCTCCTGATCTTCTGTAAAGCTTTCTCCCTGTTGTATCCTTCTACCTACATCATAGCAGAAAAACACCGTCAGTGGGTTGAAACAAGATGTCAAGATAATGTTGTGGTTATTCAGTAAATTTCCTAGGTATAACCCAATATCTGTTTGCATTATTTGTCTTTTTAATTCTGTCAACGGAGTAGCTTAACATCAAATGGTAAAAGATATGATAAATCTAGGGTTAATTCCAGTTGGAACAAGGAAAAGGGTGCTTGATCAAGTAGAACCAAAACAAAGCTCTCTCTTTCAAAACTAACCAGACACGGTTTTTATAGGATAATGGCTAACTGAAAACTACTAAGAGCATACTCTTTCTTCAAATGGTTATGCCAAAAATCTGGTCTAGAGATTTTCTTTTTGTTCTTCAAGGATAGATTGTTACAAACACTACATTTTCCAGCAGGACTTTACGGACAATCAAGAACCTTAGACCACATGAAGCGATTATCTGAAAACAATCAATCACAAAAATCGACAGACAGGCAGTCAATCATTGGCTGGCATTTTCTAAAGGAATTACTAAATCACTCCAAGTGACTAATTGTGGAAACTAAGAAGAACAAGAAGCACCAAAGATTTGAGAAACTTACTGCATCCTTAATCATCTTCGTTGTGGCAGCAGCCCTTGCAGTGGCAAGTCGTAAACAATGGATGATTACACTTTGTAGGATACCTTCTCCTCCAGCTTTTTGAATGGCACAAATATCACCATTTGCATTAACGATAAGAGTCATTTTTGCACACATAACAGCCTCTTCATTGTAGGTTGGATCCATTACCTATATAATATTTACAACATCAGGAAAACCTAATTAAGTATTTTGGCTCTTCACAAATATAGTTTCATAAAAGAAGATAGAAGGTTCGGAAAAAAGGAAGAGCCTCATACCAAGATGTTTCCATTATTGAAGAATCCGAAAGTGAAAGCTATAGGAAGATGATGTATTATCAGAGGAATTGGCTCCCTTACCTGTCAATATTTAAGAAAATACAACCAACTATAAGATAAAATGCAGTCAAAGGGCTAAAGGTAGTAACTAATAGAAAATTCAGATCCTGCTACTTTTTGTGACTTTGGAAGTTACATGACGATGATTCAGATGGATCACTCATGTACCATGATTTAACAAAAAGCAACAAGTTCACAATATCAAATAAAGTGAGAATTTATGATGATATTTTGAAGTAACATCTTTTTTTTTTAGAGAATTTAGAAGTAACATTTTATTAAGTCATAATAAATTTATTCTCCCAAAAAAGAGCTAATAAATTTACATAGCCTCACTTCGCAATAATAACAGCAAGAGAGAGAGCGAGATGTAAAAGGAGTATTCAGGGACAGAGAGAGAGAGAGACATAAAAAGAGTATTCAGAAAGCACAAAAAGTATGTTGAAACCATAATTCAGATCTCCACTCTTCTTAGGGAATTACGGTGGCCAATCTTGAAGTTCATGATCTTGAAGCAAATCAATGAGACCAATGCTACTACTGTTTCATCATTGAAGGAAAAACACTGATGGTAACTTCTCAGCATCATCACTTCAAGGAAAAAGTACTAGGAAAAGTATTGAGTTTGCTGGCCTTTCTCCTCTATTATCCAGTTTATTATTTTCTTTTTGAGATAAAAAGAAGGTATTATAAAATATTTTTTTGCGATAAAAAGAATGTATTATAAAATATACAGCATTCCAGTTTATCATTATTATCTTTTCTTTTAAGAGGATATCTAGTTCTCTGCATAATATATTTCTTTCTAATAATACTTCTTCTATTAAAAAGTTAGAAAATAATCCTAAATAGCTTACAAATTAAATACCCAAAGGTTTTGAGGTACTAACCTCAGGTGGGTGTACTGTCACTTCTTGTCCATCTTCACCTCCTAGCGTGCATTCAGGCCTCCGAAATGTCAAGAGGGCAGCTAAGGCGGCAATATTAGCAGCATCAACAAGGTTTCTGTTCCCATAATAAATAACAGCCATAATTAGTAAAAAGGGCGATGAGCAATAATTGCTCTACAAGAAAGGAAAAGTTAGCATAAGAAAAATTACAACCTACCCCCCATTGTCAAGAATGTGAAGATCTATACGGATAGCCCATACCAACTTCCCAGCTAGAACACAAAGTGATTCCATATCCACAGCCCGACTTTCCCTGCATGATCACTTTAGACCTTCAAATATATTCATTCCATATTTGTAACTAAAACTGTGCAATAAGCATTCTGCTGTGGGGCAGTGACATCAAATTTCTAACAGATGATTGTTTATGGTCCAAGAAAATAAGAATTGAGAATTCTAGGGTCTGAATGTCCAAAAGAAACACAGTGAGGACAGAAAGATACATACTATTTCAATTTATGTTTGATGGTAGAAGGATGACCAGGAAAGAGTAAAACAAGTAAGTGGAATTCGAAAGGAAAAAAAAAAATCGCAAGAGAGCAACAAAGTAGGCAAAAGCCTAAAGAAACAAAGAACCTACAGACTCGCATCAACAGTATAAACCCTCATTACAATAAAAATATAAACCATTTGTATAGGGTGCTCCCATTAATGTCACAACAATTAGCTTTTTCCGTAAAGAAATAACCTAGAAAAGAGATGAAGAAAAAAAAGCTACGATTCCAAGAAACTAATAAGAATAGAATACTGGATGAGAGTCTAGACTAACTGACAAAATAGCCTTGAATTTCAGGACCTAGTGTTGCTTATAAAAATTAAACAATCTCTTAAATTGAGAACCTAGTGCAACCGGTTACTTTGTTTCATGATTGCATGTTTAAATTCTTGCTAAGATGCCACCATCATGACAGTCCCTGAGAAATTATTCCCATGGAAGACGAGAAAGGTCCTCATTAAATAACATAAATTATATTGGAGGAACATGTTTCAACATTTTTGAATGGTGTAGGAAAGGTCCAATGCTAGAGCATACAGCCCAAATATATCACAGCTACAACATTTAGAGAATAAAACTATGACCTTAAACCACGATCTATTACACGCCCCAACTCCACAGCAAACTCGCCAGGACGACCTGGTTCAAAAGATGGATCAGCCATCGGAGAAAACTCAGTGAAGACTGAAAGTGCCCCATCATTGGGTCTATCTTTATAAGGTTGCACTAGCTGAGCGGTCACAAATCCCATAACGTGAGTATGGCCAAGCTGCACTTCCGATGATCCATATTCTCTGCAAATTCACACAAGATATCCTTTCATACTCAGGTGCTTGTGCCATTTAAATAATAGTACAATAAGAACACATGGGAGCAAATTAGTAAGAGAGAAGGGAAAAAAAAAAAGCAAGCAAGCTTCTATTACGACTAGCTGCGTCAAGTTTAACCAGACTTCCAAACTACAAAAGATTGCACAAATTTGAAGCTCATTAAAACACCACCAATTGCCACATGCAAACTCATAGATTTCCCCCCTATGTTATACTACAAACTTGAAGCTCAATTAAAAACACCATCAATTGGCATATGCAAACTCATAGATTTCTCCTCTACGTTATATACATAAAACTATGAGACCAATAAAGGCTACAATATCAGCAAAAGAACAACAACTTCAATGAAAATGGAAACTATTATCTCCACTAAATTATCAAATTGAATTCGAAAAACAAAGCGATACGATAAGAATTAGTAACGAAGACGACAGTTCATACAACCATAAATGCTAAGAGAGGTGTACTAGCCTGCCAAACTTGATGGTGAGTTTACGGTAATCATAGAGGCCACGACCATCGATTCTGAGTTCAGAAAGCAAAGCAGTTTCAATGAACTTCTTCTCGTTCACCGTCAATCTCCATGCATTTGCTAATTTACTTTCCATTCTTTGTTTTCTATTTCTTGTTTCCTCCCGTCAAGACCACTCCGTTTCCACTTAATATCCGACCAGGCAATGCTCCGCTGAAACAAATAAATAAACCAGAGCCGCCGCCACCACCACGTCACGGCGAGCGTCCGACAGCCTCTACTTGGGTTTAGGGTTTTTCTGGGTTGGGCTTATGAAGTTGGGAGAATCTGTAAAATTTCAAACGACGAAACTTAAATAGAGCGAATTGAGAAAAAGGGACAAGAAGAAAACAGGCTTGGCGGCCCAGCCGAGCCCAGGGTGTTGATTAGGCCGTTACAAATTATTATATACTTTCCCTTATATCATTTATTTTACGGTAAAAAATTAATAGATAAAAATGTGAGAAGAAATAAATGTAAATAAAAAAAAAAGAATGTAAATGACACTTTGATTCTTACGCTTCTTTTATTCTATTTTCATTCCAATAACAAGCCCCCTCTTTTTTTAAAATCAAATGAATCGTTTTTTTTTTTTTATAGTAATGATAGTCGTACCTAATAACAAATCGCAGTTATATTATTAAAAATTTGAAATAAGAACGAATTTCGTTCTAATGCCTGAAAACATATAAAAAGAAACTCTAGATATTTGATATCTTTTTCTTTGAATGAGATATCAATTCTAGTTACGATTTTATTAGACATCTTATAACTAAAATTTCTTTTTTTTTTAATTTAATTCTTTTACCACCGGCGAATTCTAGTTAGGTTCAGGTATGATATATTTTTTAGTTATTGAAATATATATATATATATAATAACACAAAAAATACAACAAAGAAACCAATTCAAGTAAAGAAAAATAAAACAAAATTATTTGTTACAGGGTAAACAGTAATGAAATATAGTATATGATTTTAAATTTTAAATAATATAATAAAAATCACATAAGGCAAAATGTAAAAAATTTGTGGTTTGATTTATTTCTCATGTTTATATTTGTTCGTTGCCATTTTTTCCCACATTCAACAAACCCAATAAAGAGAACCAAGTACCAATTTTCCACACAGCTTAGAGAATTAAGACAACCTTTTTTTTTTTTCTTCCGATCAAAAAGTTCAAAACAAAATTAGTCAGAGATCCATTTAATTAATTTCCAGTATCTGAAAAGTACAAGGCTTTTTATTTTGTATTTATAATTTTCTCATAATCTCTTTTTGGGATCAAAAACAAGTGTGAATCTTTATCACCTAACGACCTCCCCAATTTAGGTTTTATTCCGAAACAACAACATCCCCGTTAAGGCATTCTAGTTTCCTCATTTCATAGGGTAATAACAGGGCTAGTTGCCCACTTTTCTACGAAAGGCATTGTGTTTATTATTATAAAGAGAAAAAGAAAAGGGAAAGGAAAATAAGAAAATATGCACACACACACACACACATAAAACAAAAAAATTTCTTCTTTGAAAAAAAAAAAAAAGGGTTAAATCAAATTTTGTATCTAATTTTAACAAAAAAAAAATTAATTGCTATAAAATATTACTTTCACCTAAATACGTCATAAATTTATTGAAACTTAACTTAATTTGATCACTGTACTTCTATAAATATATTAATAAATTAAATATTATAAATTACTTATTATTAATCTATAATATACTTTAAAAATAGCGAATTTTCTATTATTAACTTCTATAAAACTTATCTATGAACGGAGATCGTTGATAGATTATCTCCAATGTATCAAATATTAGAAATACAAAATAACCCCTTACAAGCAAGGCAAAAGAATCTGAAATCAAATTACAAAAAGAAGAAACTTGAATAAGCCACTTGACAGCTTACTCATAACTCACTCTCTTCATCCTTCCAAATCTTTCTGGTACTAGACTAACTAATGTTGATAAAAATCTTTCTTTTTTGTTTGTTTTAATCCGGCGATAATTTATAACAAACAGAATTTACAGACAGACTATATATATATATATATCTTTAGTTTCCCATTTACATCAGCAGCATTTACTTTTTTTCCAGCATCATTTTTCACTCCTTGTTTTAATTTTCCCCATGACTTCATAGAAATAATTTCATGCTCGAAGTCAACAATATCCCGAGTATTCTACAAAAAAACCATGCAACAAATCATCCAAGAACAGCAGCACATCAGCTTTGAATCACACTAAAAGTTCAATTCCAACAATTTTCAAATCTCTCTCGCCTCCTGCATGACTCCTATTTTCACTCTCCTTTCTTAGCTCTAACATTCTGCCTTCTCTTTAAACACAATTCTGTAGAGAACACCTCCAAGATTTCCTCCTCCCCTCCTCGTAAGCGATTTCCTGCCCTAGCACATTCTCCCCAACTATCTTTAAGCCTTCAAAAACCCTGCAAATTCCAAAACGAATCACTCTTCCTTATTTTATTCCTTGTTATCATCTAACTCATACCTTCTCCCTCCACAATACTTACGTCTAACTTCTACTCTTAGTTATTACAATTGAGTTCAATTTATTATCATCTACCTAATTTGGTTTTAAATAAATAATTAGTTAGTTCAATTGATAAACATACCAATGTTTTAATCAATTCAATAACTATCTAGTTTTAGAAACAGTTCACTTAAGGTTTTGATTATATAATACCCGAGCCCAAAATTTGATTCGGAATTAATTTTAACATTCTAAAATATATAAAAAATTTATTTTTAAAATTAATAAATTTTAATTTAATAGAAAATTATGAAAAAAATAGGTTATGGATGAAATTAAAAATAATTTTGAAAAAAGGATGTAAAATTTTGGGTTTTGATGGGGGTTTTGGAAAAAAAATCGAAAATTGAAGATCATAGTACAAATAAAAAAAAAATTTACTACGTAAGACCCGCCTAATTAGCAACCTTGACGAACCCGAAACACCGTCCGCGGGGACAAGGCACGCTGACGTAGTGCCATGCGGGATGTCACGCAGACGATCCGCGTGCTCTGCGATAAAACGACCCAGGATCGATCTCGCGCGTGTAGACGACGTAAATTTGTTCTCCCTTTAATCGCGATTAGACGGTCGAGATCAAATCGTAATGAATGATGCAGATTCATTTCTTCTTTAAACGCGATCGGACGGTCGAGATCAAACCCAATGAACGATCAAGATTCGTTTCCTCCTTTATGTGCGATTGAACAGTTAATATCAAACACGATGAACGACCCAAATTAACGCGGGATAAATATAAATATTCGTATCACACTGAACCCAAATCCTAGCCGTCAGTCTCCTGCTGGAAAAGAAAAATTAGTCGCCGAAGAAGAAAGTCGACCACCAACCGCCACTGCACCGGTGGCTCCAACCGCCAAGAAAGGTAAAAATTCTCTTATCTGTTCGGAATTCAATTTTGAGCACTCATGTGGCCATATCGGAGCAAAACAAACGGTTGGTAAACCAAAAATCACGGACAAAGTCCGACAGCGCCGCCACGAGCAAAACTTGCAACCTTCTCCAATGAACTTCTTTCTATTTTTCGTTTTGTACAATTTTTTCACCGTTGTGTTCACCGTTCTGTTTTTTACAGGTTAACTGAAGAAAAAATCCCAACTGCGAAGGTGAGCCGGTGAAACCGCAGCACCCAAAAAGATTCTACCACCAGTAGGTTTCTATTTTTTAATTTTTTCAACCAATCGAGACCTTCAACGTATTTTTTCATATGGATATATATAAAGGCGGCCGAAACTAGCCAAAATCGGTCAAAAACGACCATGCCGAGGCAAACTGCCGCCGCAGGCGGTGTTACCGTCCTTTCATTAATTATTTCAAATCAAGAGAATCAAAATCCAGATCCTAATCAATAAGGAAATTATAAATAATTCACAACCCAAATTCCCTTTAAAAGTCAGTAAAAATTATCCTAAAATTGTTTAATTATTTATCTTTTGTTTATTTTTTTAATTTTTATTTGTTTTTTTTGAAGTGATTTTACCCGTAACACTATTGAACATTCTAAAGTATTGTATAAGAAATATAAATCTTAACTCTATTATTTCGATTTCGCATTTAATTTATAACTTTATTTTCATTTAAATTTTAAATATTTACATATTATATCAGTTAATAAATTATTAACTCACTGACTTTATGTTAAAAAAGATTGAAGCTATCCAAGAAAAACTTAAATTGACACCAAATTTATCTATTCGGTAGATTCTTTAAATTATATATATTCAAATATATATATATATAATTTATTTTTAAAGAACATTTATTTAATTTTAACGAACTTAAATATCATGAAAATGTAACATGTGCACATAAATATTTAATAAACTCATAGTTTACAGTATTAATTATTAAAAGATAAACGTGAATTTTCTGTTTGAAGAATTGATTGAAAAAGAACCTTTTCTTTTTTAATAGTAATTTTAAAAATGTAAATTCTTAAAAGAAACTAATCTAGCATGAGTGTGTGTCTGTGGAGAGAGAAAGAGAAAGAACAATCAGTTGATCATTAATAAAATGATGAAAAAGAGTAGTTGTGGAATTGATTGAAAGCAATTTGAGCGGTAGATCTTCAATGTCCCACTTTAAGCAAGACAAAACTGTTGCTTTCAAATTGAACACATTCAATACGTATATATATACATGTAAAGAAAAAGAAAAAGAGAAAGGCATCACGGCAAGAAATAAAAATCTTTTGGCTGCCATGATACATAGAGGGGTAATAGACGAAAGTAATGTATGTGTATGAAGCAAACTGTAAAATAATGTAGAATTCATTTACTAATTTGAACTTAATTTCTTCCAGAGAACATATAACTGTATTATAATGATAAAAAAAAAACAACAATTATAGAAGTTCTTAAATTTCATCATATTTATGTTTAAAACAAATATAAAATTTTTTATTAAACTTATAAGTTCATTCGATTATACATCAACGACATAAATCATAACTTAATTTTGCATATTTATAAGGATTGTAACAGTTCTTGAAGTCAATTATCATGAAATTAGTTTTAAAAAATTATCTATCAACCAACTTGTTAGAAAAAGGTACTAACCACTACACAATTAACTTGTTAAAAAATAAACAATTGTCTACCAAAGAATTAATTGATTATGAATCGTATTGAATATCACACAACAAATACATACATATATATATATGTGTGTGTGCATATGGGACGTAGAAAACTTTAGTTAAATGGTATTAACTGCTATATAATTAGGGAATCTTCTTTATCTTAGTCCCATAAGAATCCCAGTTTGGCAATAGCAGCAATTCTCTGTGATTAAGTTAATCCCTGGTACTAAAAGTCAAACTATCTTATTCCATTTTTAATGGAGATTAGAATCTTGAGAACCACATGAGGAGAGAAGATTCCCTCATCCGATAGACCCACGTTGCCGACCCCTACAAGATTCCACTCGTAAACAAGAAAGTAGAAGGCATCACAAGCCCCTAACGTACAAGAAGGACCCGCCCTGCCCCAGTTTTGGCATGCATCTGATTAGAACCCTTGTTCAGATGATTGATCAATCATCATCGAATATCATTCCTTTTTTTTTTTTTTTTCTTTGAACTAAAAAAAGGATATCATTCATCGAATATCATTCTTAGTTATCCATCAATTTCGTGCACATAATTATCAAGGAACACTAAACCTAAGCTAACCAATCAACCAAATTGATTTATTGGGTACCCAAACTTGATGTATGCATGTCAATTGTTTAAAACCTAGACAAAAAGTATGAACCATTAAGAATAATGGATCACATATTATTTTATTTATCAAATAGGCCCACATGAGAATTTATTATTACTAAGCTAATATTTCTGTGTGTGTGTGTGTGTGTGTAGACTGCCATTTTATGATAGTTTTTCGTGGTTCAAGTTGAATCTGTCCTAAATTATTTAAAAATATATCATCCATCATTATGTCAAAATTTAAAAAATTCACGAAAAAAAAATTGGTCTTAACTGAAAATAAGTGAACTCTAAACTTAATTTATAATATCATATAATCCTTACTAAAAGAACTATCCTTGAAAATAAACTAATAGTAATTCATAAGAAGAAATTCTGAGTAAACTAATATTAACACAATTTAAGAAACTTAAACTAATACCCACTTGTTGGTGAGAGATTTGATGCGTCTTTTTCTTTTACTTGTGAAGATAAAGAAAAAGTTATGACATCTTACCTCAGCTGATAAGATATCCACGTCCAGAATTTCACCAATTCAATTGGAAATATCATCCGGAAAGGTAAAATTAAATGTTGCGATACTATATTCAGTGCAAGCATTAGAAACTTACCATCTGATGGACCCCACACTTTTTGATCAAATCACTTCATTCGTTGGATCTTCTGACCTTTATAAGCATGAGAAATTCACCTGAAATGCAACATGTTGTGAAGTATAACTATAATAATCTAATATTATATTTCCATGCGAGGGAAGTAAGGACTCAGTGCAAGGAAATCCGATAAATAAGAAAGCAGTCATTACTTCACGAAAGAAAAAGAAAATTTCTTGTAAAATAAGCTTGCCATATTGGTTTGATTACTCAATAAATAATTCAATCAACCCCTATTTTGTAGTTGGCCTAATTACCATTTATTTTCTATGATTTTTTTACACTTTAGTATTTTACAGATTTATTGTTTATTTCATTTAAAATTACTAGTTTTGTAAACGATTATTTTTTAATTAAACAAAAAAAATGTTTTAGTCAAATTTTGGGAAGGAGAAGAGGAAACTTAAAATATCATAGGATAATAGTTTAAAAGAACTTATTTGTAAATAACGACAAAAAGAATTAGATCACATCTCTATAGAACTGTAATTAAAAAAATCAAATGGATACAACAGCATTAAGTAAAATCACACAGGATGAAATTAGAATTTACTCTTGAATAAAATATTAACAGGAACGATTATAGAAGAAAGTGTCACCAGCTCCAAAGAAATATGTTGCAGTCAAGGCCCAGGACTCGGAAGACAAAGTTAAAGAAATTTAGCAACCCCTTGAAAGACTTACCTATATAACCACCACCAGAGTTGACAAATACCTAGATTTGCATAAAGGCAGTTACGAACTCATGATTTAAGAAATCTGTATCTGCTACAACTACCCTCCTTCCTTTCATGGACCGTCACAGATTGCAGTCTCTATCTTCATTCATGGCCAAGAAAGGCCATAAAACAGTGCTCACCTTTCAAAAACATTGATAGCTTAGTCCCTTGAGCGATTTACTGTGTAGCCTTTTTTCTGGTCCATATGGACCACAAAAAGAGCAAAACCAACTGAGAAAAAAAAATTGTCCATGACACCATCTGCATATCTTCGTTTGGAAGTGTTCCAGTTATTTGTGGCTCTTGTGCCCCTTTTACAGCTCCAGCCGCCATGTCCATGTTCCATTTAATATTTTCCTTATGGGTCCTTTTGTCAGCGAGCTGCTGGTGTATGTGCCTTTGTTCTACTTCATGGCTCCCACATAACTTTCTTCGACAAACAAATAAACAGTTTGTACAAAAGACAGATCATTTCTGGGAGTTTCAAGAGGAAACCAACAGTTGGGTTCAAGTGCAACTCCCTTATGATCTGTTCTCTTGTGTTAATAATAACTGTACCAAGGTGGGTTTGATTGATCGAAAAACAATCACTGGAGAAAGGAAATATGACTCTCACAAGAGCTTGAAAAAGAAAGATGGTGATGGTGGAGGACCAGAGGAGAATTCTGATATTGTTCTGTCGCAAAGGAAAAGAATTTCCTTGACAAAAATGTCTGAAACATCCATCTGGGTAACAGGCGAAAGTGGATCAATCTATGAAAGATTTTGGAATGGAGTCCAATGGGTCATAGCACCTCATGATTTGCCAATATCAGCAGGTCGTGCAATCTCAATTTTTATTGTCAACCAGACAATTCTAGCCTTGTCTGAAGTAGGAAGCCTTTACCAGGTACAACCATGCACCCAATTTCTATACTGCAAGTCTACGAATGCACATAATTAGGCCAGCATGTTACATATTACCTAAAATCTGAACTGTATCCATCGCACTATCTTCTTTTCTTCCCTGAAGTTTCATAAAGTTATAGTGGAAGAGGAAAGTGCGGTTTAAGTGATATCAGATGATATTAAATTTCTCCTATAAGAATCCTGCATCCCATTTTAGTGTTAACATATCTGCTACTCTGCTAGGCAGACAAACTCCAGGTAATGGTAACTATTTATTAGACTATATAACTTGACTGTATATACTGATCCCCTAATTTTTCTATTTTATACACTTTCCAGATGCAACTTAGTGAGAGTTCACAGCCAGTTTGGGTAGACTTCACACCTATACTCTCTCAAAGCATGCATCAAGAAGCAGATCAAAGTCCAGCAATCCAAATAAAGTCTGGTGTTGTTTCACATGATGGAGTGTGAGTATATGAGGAATTTACAATTCAACTTGTAAGTTTTTACTTCAGAGAATTATACATACCAGAAGAGCCCTGTTGACTTATTTCACAGCAAAGCTCAGTCGACCTGTAATGCTCCAGACAATATTTCGTTCCCTTTTGTTAAACTATATTAATTTCACTCATTTTCCTGCTAGGAGAGTTTACTTCTGCACAAAGAATGGATTGCTTTTAGAACTAAATGAGGTTGAGCCTCAAAGGTAAAATTTCATCTATCCAAATTCATGTTATCATATCTAAAGTTTTATGCCTTGAAGTTTGAACTCAAGTAACTATTTTGTTATGTAGATTTTAGTGCAAAGACAATGGTAACTTGGATATTTTTTCTATAAACATAGAACAGGTGGGTAAATCACGGCCAGCCTCCAGGTGCCTATGTTGCAGGAATAACTGATGCTGCTAGTATTAAAACAGAAGTAGTATATATCATAAGGTGATCTTTCCCTCATTTGCTCTCAGCTAAACCCCCTGCCACCTGACACATTTTCACACACACGCAGGCCCTTATAACTTCAAATTCAATATTTAGTCCTTAATTCCGTGAACTTGAAGTTGTAAAAATTATATGTAACTTAATCAGGCAAAAATATATTAGATGTTATTAATGACCATGTAATTGTTACTAGCATAAGCTAAATGTGAAACTACTCAATGCAGTTCCACAGGTGATCTATACGAATATGAAAGGAGCTCAAAGCCACCATGGAGAAAACATATATGGAAAGATGAAACAGCACAAGATAATTCTCTGATGCCATTACTGGGGTATGGTTCACGTGGATTAAATGGAGATCACTCCATATCTCTGTTTCTTCTAACAAAGGTATTATACATGCATCATTAATCAGATGATGATAACTTTGCACCATAACATAAGTCATTAACCATCCAACTTACATGTTTGAATAACAAAGGGAACACCATCTCAGGGGCATCCATTTCACATGGATATAACTGCATAAGGGATAGTCACTAGAGGGTCTCATGATAATATACCTGCAAAACAGGGTCATCGCAAGAAAATCACATGATGAGGAATAGTGCAATATCAACCAACTTCAAAACATTCAACAGTGTTTTTTCCTTTTATGTTATAGAATAAAAGTGCTCATCTGCATCATAAAGAGAGAAATTTTTTCTTTGACATATCATAGGGAGAGACAACTTTCAAACTTCTGAAAGGTTTGAAAATGATTGAAGCTTGTTTAACATGAAAAGTAAATCCCATTATAGAACGTGAATGAATATCCATGATATATAACAAAACAAAGTTTTTGGTGCCTGAGAAACAATTGTAAATGAATATCTGTACATCTCATTACTTTCCTGTACTTAATGTTATCCTCTCACAAGATTCGTGAATATCCAGGGTGGTAATTTGGTAGAGAGACAATTAAACAAAAGAAAATGGAAGTGGATTACCCATGGACGTCCGAAAGATCATCATCTGACATCAATTACACGAGTTGTGCAAGATGAATTGATTGAAAATTTCTTCTCTCTGTTTTTCACTACATCTACTGGATCTGTTTTTGAATATCGAATACCAAAACATTCAGGTGAGTTCTGAAAGCAATGTGAAGAAATCATGTTTTCATTTTTAATGTCTGTATGATAACTAGACTTACACAGAGAACGCTTTGCAGTATTTACATGATGAAAAACTGACTTCAGCTATTACTTGCATTCAGTTCAAGAGGAAATTTAGAAAATATGCCTCCTAATTACAAATAGCGGACTGGTGTGTACGTTTCAAAATCAAGAAGCCTTATTTTGCAATTTGCATCCCAGTCTTTAAGAAATTAAATAGGAAACCAGTGTCATCTGCCTTTCTACAGAAGTTCCACTGGAAGGTCTGAAGGAAAGAGTAGAGCTTAGAACTTCAAATGGTTCTGGACGCCCATGAGTGTAAAATGGAGGGATTAGAAATAAGACAGAAAATTCAAAATCTTAATAAAAAATTAAATTTCAGCTGGATGGCTTCTTTTCAGTTGCTTCAAGAAAACACTCTCGATAATTGAATGACCACTTAAAATGATATACAGGATAGAAAAAAAGCAAAGTGGTAGTGAAATTTTTTTAGGTAATGAAATGCCCACGGGATGACAAGAAAATTTCAAAGAGTAGTTGCTTATTAGAAGCATTCATCAGCACCAAATCTTTAAACATGAAAAGTTAATTGCTTGAAAAGGGGACCAGTCAACCTTGGGGATAAGCAATCATTCAAACATAAAAAAGCCTCTAAAATGATCCCACTCTTGAGCTTCAGTGGTCAAAGCAATGACAAATAGCAACACAGTTTGGGTGTCAGGAGATAAAAAATAAGCCTCTAAAATTCTTTAATTAGTTCATAGTTTGACAAGCCTCCCTCAGTTTTAGGCTCCAGACGACTGAAACAACAACCCGACCATCCTGGGTTTGGCAAAGATAATAAGATGCAAAGTCCTAGTATATAGTCCACCTCATGCCAAATAAAGTCCAAGAAGGAAGAGGTTACTAGTTGTTTAATTACAAATTATAGATTTCTAGCATGTTTAAACAAAAGAACATTATCCTAACCATAAATTTCCTATGCAAAAATAGGTACAGTCCAAGAGAACCATCTCGAGCGATGGTTAAATCACATGCATCCACCTCATGCAAAAGTTGCAAGAGGTCTTGCCGGACAGCAATTTCAGGTCAGCAGAATATTGTTCCCACTGGATGATGGAAGAGTTGCAGAACTACATACATCAGGCCTCGGTGGAGAAAATTCAGGACCAATTCATCCAGTTAATCACCGAAGAAAAGCGTCAATTAAGTATGTGTGGTCAATCTTAGATGCCCCAGAGACTGAAGGATGGAATGCAGAATATTGCACAGAAGAACGTGGCCCTACAAATTGCATTATCGGTTCAAAAGATGAACCAAATGGTCAAAGTAACAGGAGATCAGTGACAAGAAGGAGAAGAGGTAACCCAGCTCAAGAAGATTACTTATCTCCAGGTGCACCAGGGATTAGAATGAAGGAAAGTTTGGAAGAGTATAGCTTTCCAGATAACTGGATCAACAAGCACTATCGTCTAAGAGTGATGCACAGAGGCAAATCATTTTTCCTAATAGCAGATGGTGGTTTGACTTTTGAATATCTTTACACTGAGAGTGTATGGCTTTGGCTGAGGCATGATTACTCAACAGCTATAAAAGGTGC